GATAGATGAGAGATAAGAGATAGAAATAGAAATGAGAGATAGAGATACCAGTGATAGATAGATAGGCAGATAGGTAGGCAGGCAGGCACAGAGGACAAACTAGCAGAGACACATGTTTAAAAAGACAGTTTATGTTGCTGGAGGTCCATGTTTTCCTCCTTGCATGTCATTTGGACAGCAAGGCAGGGCATAAATTAAAAGAACATCTACGATTACTTTCTAACTTAAGTTGGAAAAGTCATGTGAACATTGCTTGGATTGGATTTTGCCAAGAGGCTAATTAAGATAAAATCACTGTACTTTGTAGAGCAATCATTTCAGGCTTTCAGCTAAACTCTTCTCATTAAGTTCAGATCCTTGGAAAACGGGAAACCTATTAGAGGAACATTTTTAGCCTTCTACCAAGCCCAGCGTTGTGATTCAGAGGTATAATGGGCAAATTCCTAGTCCTAGAAGCTCCTTGGCTTCAGGAACTGCTGGATGCGCCAAATGAATCTGATGTACCGAAATGGTAAAATAACCATTCCAATGAGCAGGCTGGAACAGACCCAAAGTCCTAGCTGTTTAGCATCTTTTTCCTCACAGCTGTTGCATCCTATACTAGCTGATAACCTGGCGTTGCCTGGATATTTAAAGGAATTGAAGTGTTTGTCTGACGGGGAGCCATTGAGAAGGGCCTTTCTTCCCCTATTCCCATGCCCACCATCCCTGCCCACTCCCTTCCCCCACCTATGCGCTCCTCTTTCCCGCCCTGGCTACGATCCTGGCACTTTGCCCCAAATCCATCAGGTGCTTCCCCATTGGTCTACTGGAGGGCGAAGGTCACGGCTGGCTTTCCAAAGGAAGCTGTGAAAGAACTGACATCACAATCAATTGCCGCTCTAGGATGCCGCACTGGCTCTCCTTAATGGCCCAGGCTCTCCCTTCCCCCTCTCATGACATCACAAACAATTGCCACTCTAGGACACCGCCTTTGCTCTCCTTAACGGCCCAGGTGTTCCAGAGTTATGCTCGAACACATACACAAACGCACACACATACACACCAGGGGTGTCTTATCCCCC